CCCTCTCTTCCCCTTCCCCTCTGCCCCTTCTCCATTCCCCTCCTTCTGCTCATGAGGCACAGGACGTTTATCCATTCACAATAGCTGTGGACTCTTTGGGCTGGGTGTACATAGCGTGGGGAGAAGGGCTGGGAAGATGCAATGGACGAGGGAGGCTGTGATGAAGTAAACAGCATGGATCGACCTTGGGGGAAAAGGGAGACGAGAGGCCTGGGAGGACCCAGGGAAGGCCTGGAAGGTCTGGGCTAGGACTCCTGTCCTGGCCTCTTTCCCCTCTGCCTCTCGGCTGCCATGAATGAGCGGTTCCCCCCACCATGTGCTTCTGCCATGGTAAGCTACCTCATCGCAGGCCCAGAAGCCACAGATCCAAACGACCGAAACCTGTGCACAGCTCGAGAGGCACATGTGGCCCAGGGGAGAGGGATGGAGGGGTGGTGCCTTGGGAGAGAGGTGAACCGGGTCAGCACAGCTGTGTCACTTGCGTTCAGAGGGAGAGAATGGAAGTAGCTAGAGGGACAGGCAGAAGCAGAGGGATTCTGAGTGGGAATTAGAACTGGAGGGACGTCACCAGGGACTGAGGAGAGATTTCAGCCTGATACCACACCAGTTAATTTGGTTGGCTGTGGCCCATTCCAGTTAAACCGAGTGGTGACCCACCCTGAGATCACACACCCATGTTTGGGTATCCCTGCCACACACCAGATTCCAGTGACATCTGTGACTGAGGAAGCCTTGGGCATCAGGGCATGGAGGATGGGGAGATTGAGGGAATCAAGTGCATCAGGGCTTCCTGGGAGGCAGGCCATTGGGAACTTTGTTAGGAGGGAGGCTATAAAGGGAAGGATGTCCTTGGCTCAGCAGGTGTGCAGGCTGGGGTTGGAGCCGTGTTGCTGTGTGATGCTGACACTGTAATGGTGTAATCTGGATCCGTGTCTCATGAAGTTGAAGACTGAAGTCAAAAACGGGAAGAATGCTGATTAAGAAGAGAGAAATAATTCTCAGTAGTCAGGATGGGCCCTGGAAGTGGGTTGCCAAGGATCTCTTTGTGTGGAAGTTTTCATGCCAAAAGATGAGTAGGACTCAGACCACTCGGAGTCAAATTAAAGTCAAACTATAGGACTAAAACCAGCTGATTTGAACTCGAAATGGGCCTGTGAGGGGTGGAGGCACATAGCAGCATGTGTCTGCAGGTGCCTCTTGGTTGCAGTCCTATTCAAGTGGTTTATTGAAAGAACAAAGCGAGAAGGAACAGATGTTCTCCAGATGGGAAGGAGCAGCCGTTGTCCTAGTGGGCATCTACCATCTTAGTCTTCTTATGAAGACTGGCTGCACTGTCCACCTGCTTCGTGGTAACTCTTGACCTCAGCTCCTGCTTCTCTGGTCAAGGCTTGGTCATCCTGACTCGATCTCGGACCCAGTGCCTCTCTGGCTGCCTCCTGCCTTCTAACTCGTGGTCTGTTACAACCCTGGAGGCTGCCCCGCCCTACTCAGTGCCCACTCGCTGCCCAGAGTGTTCGCGTCTGTGCCGTTTGCCTCCTTGCACCATTTTCATGACAGCTGTTTGAAAGTTCCAGGCTAAGAACCGGTGCTTTTGGGAAAGCTTGACTCTTACAGGCTCATTTGATATTTATTTCTGAGCTCACTGTTGTTCTGTTTGATGCCATGGCCCAGCGATGGGGAACCTTTGAGAGCTTTACAGTGATACAAACAGCCCACTACAGCGTGCGTGCCATAGGTTTGCCACCACTGCCATGGACTAATAATAGAATTTGGAGTTTAAGGATATCAAAATTAGGGATTTGCAGAGGATGTGCTCATTTATGAGACAAATCTGAGTGCCTTGTGTGTGCCCAGCATGGTGCAGGTGTGGGCAGTTCAGTAGCGGGCAACTCAAAAGAGCCCTGTCTTTGTGGAGCTCGCGTGCTCTGGGGGTAAACATCATCTAAAGAAAGGTGACCTTGAATTCAGATGGGGACAGGTGCTTAGTGGAAAAAGAAACATGGATAAAGGCAGGCTTAGTGTGCTCTTTCTGGAACTATTTTGAAGGTCAAAATAACAGGGTTTACTGATGGCTTGGTCCCTATTAGGAAAAACAGGGATGACTTTCAGTGATTTTTAAAATCTGAGCAACAGGAAAGATGTTCCTTGGGAGGGAGAAGAGACTGTGAGAGCAGTAGGGTTTTTTGAGAAAGATAAGATCTGTTTTGGACATTTTTAGTGTGAGATGCCTATCGGACACTGAAGATAAGGGGGTGCTGAGCAAGCAGTTGGTTGTATGTCAGGGGCCTTTTATGTGGCCATAGGCACTAAATATTGGTTTTTAGGAAAATTACGTATGTAGAAAGGTGTTCAAACCTTCATGAAACTGATTCAGAGGAGAACATACAGCGTTGTTTGAAAATTCCATTTGCAGTGCCATGTCGAAGGTATTGTCCAGTTCTGTTTGTAAAATCCCACTTCTAGCAAAATTCACATCAGGATTCTCCCCACCTCTATCACTTACTGTATTTGTATACAGACTGGTCTCTGAAGATGCAGAATGGGAACTTGTAAGAGCACCGAATCGCCAGTGCAGTCATTTCAAAGGAAGGGGAGGAAAGAACACTGTGGGCTGTGTGCTGGCCTTTCTGCTGAGGAGCTGTGTACAGCAGGGAAGCCACCCTCATCCAGTCCTTGGGATCACAGGAGGGTCCAGGAGAACAAGGGGACTGAATGAGGTGTAGGGTCACTAGTCAGCTTTCTGTTACCATAACAGGTAAGTGATCCAGTCAGCTTGTAGAGGAAAGATTTGTTTTGGCTCAGATCTAGTTTGGAGGTTCCCGCCCATCACTGGATGGTCCCCGTCGCTTGGCCTGTGGTGGTGCAGAGCAACATGGCAGGAGCATGCGGTGTGTTTGTGTCATGGCGAGGTGCGAGAGACAGGAAGAGGACATGGCCCACAGTCCCCTTGAGGGCACGCCTTCCTGGCCTAACTCCACCCCTTAGGGCCTGTCTCTTAAATTTCTACACCTCCCGATGCACCAAGCTGGTGACCTGTCCTTTAACACATAGGCCTTTAGGGGACACTGAAGATCCACACCACAGCAAGAGTGGTCAGCAGCCCCGCAGACTGTTCGGAGGAAGTGGGGATGACGGTAGCTTTGAATTTCGGCACCAGAACTTCAGTCCCTTTCTCTTTTGTGGCTTGCACAAAAGAGAGGAAGCATTGCACATAGGAGGAAGCATTAAGACCACCCAGTTTTCATTTTTCTGTACATCAGGAATTTCTCTTTATCTTTTTTTGGATATGTAACTCAGGAACCAGCAACAAACTCCTTTCGCGGGCAGCAGTGCGGCGTGGACATCCGGTGTGCCTCAGCACTGCTCTCTAAACTCTCAGTCAAGCGCGTGGTGTGCACCGTGACCGTTGTGTGTCTGAGCACAGAACAGCTTTCCCTCTTACCTCGGGATACTGTTTAGGACTAAGTTTGGTAATTGAAGAAAAAAGTCTTCCCTTTCCAAATTGTTTTTCATGTGTTTAATCCCACTAATGGTACAAGGCACTTTCTTTTATAAAATATACTTTTAGGGTCATGTAAGTGGATACAGAAGTGTGTTTATTAGGCTTGGCTTCTGGGAGTTGTATTAAAGTATCTCTTTAATAAATATTGAGTAATTTAATAAGTATCAAGTCGTGCAATAATATTTTAGTTTGATCTTGGCCAGTTATTTTAAAAAAAGGTCAGGAAAGAGGGAGAAATGGGAAATGGAAAGGACCTTCAGAGCGGTAGAGAGCCCGACAGAGGGATGGTTGAAGGGAGAAAAGGAGAGGGAGAAAGGAAGAGGATTTATCAGCCTACAGGCATGTTAACTTTTATTTCCTGCCCTGCGTGTACATATGGTGACTGAGAAGTTTGTGAAAATTGAGTATCTGGGTCCAGCTCACAGAGGAGAGGCAGGATTGTACTCCAGGGCTCTCGACTCCTGATCTGGCTGAGGACACTAGTGAGAGAACTTCTCAAATTCTTGGAAAAAAACCCCCTACATCAATAACAATAAACAGAACATGAGAGCTCTCCAGTAAAGCCTTACGTAAGAGAGTGTTGCCGTCTAGAATGGTGCTGTGAGCCGTGACACTGGTAGAGACTGTCTTCTCTGACCGTTTTTACTACATCCCTTGAGCTGATGGCTTCCTGTGTTTGGAACTGCATGTGATGGAGGAGCATCGCATTTCTGTTGAATTGCATTCGGGATCACTGCTCAATATGATCTAACATCTGACTTATTCAGGTTCATTGATGTAGTGGTTGCGTGTTGTGTGTCTGTCCCGTGTCAGATCCTGTGTTAGATAGTGGGGTTTCCATGTAGTATGTGAGTAGTCACTGCGCTGAGTGGGTTGTAGGTCTTTGGGGCAGAACTGTGATGAGAAGTGATGTTGCCGCAGTCAGGGTTGTTGAAGGAGGTGGGAGGAAGAGACCAACCCTGGAAAGAAAGACAGCTGAGCAGGATGGATTGAGGAAATGCTGTTTTGGCAGAGGTCTGGAACCATTGACTAATCCCTCCACAGGGATTAATTCGAGTTCCATTGCCAGGTGACTTCCCCGAGCCGCTTTTACTCCTTGATTTGAATGAACTCCAGCCTGCAAAGATGCTGGTTGATTCCATCTAGAAGGACTTGCTGGGAAAGACTGTACTGGATGAGGGTCTGCTGGGAGGAAGGGCCTCCAGTATTCAGGACATGTCTCAGACGTGTCTGGGAAACCCACCTACACTGAGCCTGGGCTGGTGAGGCAGCAGTCCTCTAGAATCTTCTTGGGGAAGGGTGGGAGGAAGAGGTGAGCTGACTGGTTCCTCTTAGGGTTGGGCGAATTGGAATTTCTAGGGTGAGTCCAGCAGTCGGGTTTGCGGTTAACGTGGACACCCCTGCCATGTGTGTCATGGGGTGCTGCAGAGCAGCTCCCTCCCAAGTCTGTTCTTTTTTAGTGTGAGTGTTTACTTCCAAATCTTTTCATTTTTAACAGGTGGCTAAACCCCTTGTTTAAAACCGGCCATAAGCGGAGGTTGGAAGAAGATGATATGTATTCAGTGCTCCCGCAAGATCGCTCAAAGTACCTTGGAGAAGAGCTGCAAGGGTAAGTGCCAGGCAGTAGATGAGGCTGAGGAAGAACCAGCACTTCCTGCATGAGGCTCCAGACGTGACTCCTGAACCCTTGCCTTCCGTCCCTTACCTCCCAACCCCTACCTTCCACTGAAACCTAATTCTGCTTGCTCTGTACCTCCCCTTGGGCTGTCCCTGGGCCGGTTTATCTCCGCGACCTGGGGGACGCCTGTTCCCTGTGCCTCTGTATCCGTGGAGGGTCTGGTGCCAAAGAGCTCAGATGCCTGAGGTTTGTCCCAGGCTGAGATCAGCAGGGCGGGTGTCTGGCTTGTTTGTCTCAGGTCTGCCTTCTCAGGCTGCTAAGGGTGCTATAAGTCCAGTAAAGCTAAGCAGTGACTTTTTTCTCAATCTTTTTTCCCCTTGAGGCCTGTTTTTGGGGTGCCACAGATTATCACACATCTTTCAGGAGCCGTGCAGACAATCAGCCTGCCTTTGAGAGAGAGCCTCAAAATGCCTTGTAATAAATACTGATCTGTCCCTCTTCTACCTCTCCCGTGTTACTGGATGGCACGGTACGCTCTTCTTGACCAAGCTTTTGTCTCATTACAGGTATTGGGACAGAGAAGTTTTCAGAGCCGAGAAGAATGCACACAAGCCTTCTTTAACAAAAGCAATCATCAAGTGTTACTGGAAATCATACCTAATTTTGGGAATTTTTACATTCATCGAGGTAAATGGTTTTATACACAGATGGAGGTAGTTTAGCAGTTGTATTTGTCTTTGGAAGGGGCTAATATGTAAGGGACTGAAGCTCGAGGGCATTATTACTTTTTCCTCTAACATATTAAAGCCTCATGTCATGGAAGGATGGTGCTGTTTTGTACAGTGCTGGGACAGTGTTGATGCTTAGTAAACTGTGTCAGTGTTGAGAGTGAGCCTGGATCACAGAGGACCCAACAGCCCTGATGAGTTGTACCCTGTGGTTTGGAAAAAGTAAATTTGGATCAGGGTTAGGAATTATTGAAGACATCTTACCTGTGCTCAACAAATTATTGCTAACCTAGTCCTGCCAAATCTGATACAAATTTCCCTGGAAGGTATCATGTCACCTCTTCCCTCCTAGTAAAGGAGGACTTTAAGTCCTGTCCCTCGGCTGGCTGTTGTGCCCCAGGAGCCAGAGTTGGCTGGAGCTTTGGAGAGCTGCTCTTTCCCTGTGGGCTAGCACTGAGACCCTAGGTCCTGTGTACACAGAAGGTCCAGCTTTACTGTGAATTTCAGTAAACTTGGGCACTGCCCATCCTGTCCTGGCTTCTCGTCCTCCTTTTTTGGGTGGATTGCTGGTTAGAAGTGGAGTTTTGGTAGCACAGCATTGCAGAGAGTACAGAAGTGAACTTTAGTGGAAAACAGAAAGCCAAGAGGGCAACGTCCTCTGTTACCTTGAAGGGCTTCCTTGGGTCCTCCAGTGAGATGGTGTTTGCCTGGGCTGCCTGTCCTGGTCTGTGGGAGAGGACACTGAGCATTTAGCCAGGTGGCTTGTGCCGTCAGTGGGATCTTACAGCTGCCACGGGGACTTTGGGGTCCTGTGAGAGTAGTAGGAGTAGAAGATGCAGTTCTACACCAGGGTGGCTTTTGAAGCAGGACTCTGCAGAGGTGTCCCAGGTGCATTTGGAGGAGTGAGGCAGGTGGCCGAGCTGATCTGAAGTGAGATGGAGGGTATATCTTCTATTTAACACATTTTGTGTGTGTCAAAGGGCATTGCAACAGCAGGAGGTGGTGGCCAGCTCTGCTCTATGAGCTGGAGAAAACCAGGGGGCACTGACAGAGACTAGGCACCAGGATGTCCTTGGAGATGGACATTTTCACTGGTGACAAAGGTATGCCAGCCAGTGTGCCAGAAGGTGAATGCCATCTTTGAGAGGCCACCTGCCTCCACCTGGCGACTGCCTTGGCCTTGTGCTGGGCAGCATGGAGGTGTAGACAGTGGTCCTGGCTGCGTCCCTGAGGCTCCCCTGCCCATCCTTCACCTGTACCAGATTTCTGCATGCCATAAGAAGTCTCAGTTTGAAAAAGTAGAGCATTGAACTGGTGTCGCTATACCTGTATGGGTATGGTTTTCTGGCCAAATATAGCTAAGCAGCCTGGTGAGCAGAGCTCTCCAAGACTCTGGATCAGAGCCCCAGAGCCTCAGAATGTGCCTGATGCCCATGGCAGGTGTCTGGCAAGGTGTCTGCAGGACTAACGGCTTCAGGGTGGCTTCACATAGGTGTTGGCTCATCTGCTGTAGCAGGCCTCCCCTGCCTCCCCTGCCTCCCCTGATTTGTAGTTACCCTTCCTTACAAGGTACTTAAAAAATGAAAGACAGTTGGATCTTGAAAGTGGCCCAGGAGATTGCATGTGAACTGAATTTCTGGCTGTCCCGTTGTCACAGGCTGCCCACTCCTTGGGTGAGAACCCTAAGCCCAGATGGTGGCCAGGCCAGTTTTAGATGGAGTGCGGTCTTCCTGGGAAAGCTGTTGTGAGATGCAGGCACAGACAGAGGCTGAGTGAGAGGACAGCTCTCTTTGGTGCCGGGAGCTCTGCTGTCACACTCGTTACTGTTGGGTGGTGGATGTGGAGATTTCTGGGATTGCCAGGACTGGGGAGAGCTTAACTTGGTGCCTCTCTTTTGGGAGGTTGGTCACTGGGCAGTCATGGAAGAAAAGTAGCTGGCAAAGAAGGGGTTTGTACCAGTGGTAGTAGCAGGAGCAGCAGCAGCAGCAGTGGCAGGAGCAGGAGCAATGAGGGGTTTTACTTAGGAGTAGCAGTACCGTCAGAGGTAGTCGTAGCGCTACACAGTGGTAGTACTCAGCAGCAGCTGTGGTAGACTTCATGAGCAGTAGTAGCAGCACTAGAAGTAGCTGCAATGGCCAGTATTAGTAGGGTTTATACCCAGGAGTCCTAGTATTCTTCAGTACTAGTGTTCATCTTTATCATTAGTACTGTTAGCAATAGCAGCAGTATTTGTAGGGATCCATAGTCAGTAGTGGTAGCTACATAGTACTAATTTTAGTAATAATAGTAAGTGCTTGAATAATCCTACATGCTGAGCACTTTATTCCTTTCATTGCTTGGGCTGATTTGGCAAGGTGGGAGGTATTATTACCCCTACTTTCCAGAGGCCCCTCGAGTGAGTGCCAGGGTGTTATGTAGTGGACCCTGGGCTCCCCAGAATATCACTGACTGCTGAGTTTCAGTGGCAGGTGCTGTGACTTAGGAGTCTAGACCATCTGGTCTGACAGCTTGCTCAGGGTCAGGAAGCACGGCTGGCGAACTTTGTCCTCAGGCTGTGCAGTGCCCATTTGTCCAGTCTGGACTAAGGGTGGTAAAGCAGATGCTGAGAGCTCCCTGGAGTGGTGGAACATGGCTGTGGGATGTGAGATATGAGAGATTGCCACTGAGAGAAGAGCCAGGCCCCCACAGCCCCTGGGGCCAGAAAGTCACAGGTAATGTGGGCAAGTGGCCAAGGCGTGGCTGCCTTGCTAATCCTAGTTCCCAAACGTCAGGCTGCCAAGACCCTGTTCCAGCTGAACAACTTGGTGCCTGGGGAGGCCATGGTCTCGGATGGCATTGGGACTGCGATGGTCCAGGCAGAGCCCAGTGCTGTCTTTCCTGAGCCTGTGATCTGAGTTGTGGAGTGGGTGTGCATTTGCTTGGCAGGGATCTGAGGTTAGCACTGGTGTGAGCGGCTCCTCTGTTCTGGTGTCTGACACTCTGCTTGCAGGGCGGGCCTTCACGTTAGAGTGGCAGGTTTGGTGGACCCAGGAGAGCATTTACTGTATTCACGCTGGATTCAGACTTGTAAAATTAGACAGTGGCTGGTTATTTCCTAGGTGAGGATGGTGACCAGCAGTTTATCCTTGTGTCTTTCACATAATTAATGGCAGAACTTTTTGTTCCAGTGCAGTGAAGTTCGGGGAGTTAAGGGTCATCCAAGCTCAGCTAGTAAACCTTCTGTTTACTTACTTTTGCTGCCAGTGAAAAAAGCCTGAGTTCTAATACCATTACCCCTGTTTTTAGAGACTTGCTTCTGCTGTTTCTGAGATATCAGAGAGAAGTAATGTCTTGTGGTGAAGCTAGTAAGGATCCCGTTATAGTTAGAAATCATTCCCAGGTGCTATTTTGGGTTTGGGGTGCTATTATATCTACTTACCAAGTCAAACAGAATGAATGTTAGTTTAATAATTGGTTTTATGAAGTGGCTTCTCATTTTATCATCTTGTGTCTGCTGCTTGTTGATCTTTGTGTTTTAGATGGTGAAAGAGTTAAATGCAGCCTGGCATTAAGCAGAAAGCAGGCACATTTCCTTCGTGATCTCCAGTGCCTTTGTAATTCTCCCAGTAGACACAACACCCACACAGTATCTCCATGATCCCAAGCCGTGTAGCCACAGCAGAAGCAGGGGTTTCTCTGGGTGTCATCCAGGACACCAACAGGAAGAGGCAGGCGATGCCAGTTCTCGGGGAGGCTGGGATTTCAAAGCCGTACACACCTCTTCCTGTGCGAACTGAATGACTGCAGTGCTGAGACGAGTACAGGGAAGGTGGTGAATGCACACTCTTGCAGGCGTGCTACTAGAGCCCAGCAAGCCTTGAATTTGCAGAGGACTGTGTCCTGGGGGCTCCTCCTGGGGAGTGTCGTGGGGATGAAGCAGGTCTCCACCTGCCCAGAGCCCTCAGTGTAAACGTAGAACTTGGGGAGACTGCACAGGCTGCCTGCGCAGGTCATGGCGGGTCTGTGCTTGGAGATGTGGGGTGTCGTGCCTGCTGAGTGCAGGGTTGGAGACCTCAGAGGAGCCAGCGTGACTCAGCTGCTGCTCCTCTTTCTGATGAGGAGGGCAGGGTTAGGTCTTATTCCCTTGACTGTTGGGTTCTTGCTACACTTGTGTATGGTCCAGGTGAGGGCTGTAGGAAGCTGGGATCTGAGTGAATGTCATTTTGGAAATTGGCGCATTGCAGGGATGATTTCCTGAGCACTTTTCCAGGCTTTTGCATCTTCCGACTCCGAGTGCCCCTCACCTTCTGTTCAGCTCGGGAGGCCACGAAGTAGCTGCTGATATGAAGACATCATGGGCTTTGAGGAAGACACAGTGAAGGAGAAGTGGAGGAAACAGCAGGAAAGGTGGACGTAGTTCATGATCGCATTGCACTAGCTTAGGAGTGTTCACCTCAGTCCTAAACAAGGGCAGGGGCTTTAAAGTCCATTGTCTTCATTAAGTCAGGGAAGCAGATGACTCATTTGAGAAAGATTGTGTTCATCATGGTCAAATGGAAAAACCGCTAAAAAACTGACACTTCTAACGACTACTGGAAATGACTTTTCTCAAGATTCTTGTTCTGCTGTGAGTGTAAGCAGCAAGGGGATTTTGCGGACCCTTGTGAAAACAGGTATCTTGGCCATTAAAAATGGAATGGATCATCCTTCTCCCTTTTTGGGCTTTTTTGCAGTGTTAGAGATTGAACCCAGGGCCTCACTTGCTAGGCAGTCGTTCTGGCACTGAGCTCCACCTCCAGCCTCTCAGGAGTCTCAGATAATAAAAATAACCACAGCACCCACTCATTTCTGGGCTGTGGTGGTGAGCATGTTGTTCAGCTGTCCGCCACTCATTTGGTGGTCCCGGGGCTCCTCTGCTGTAGACAGATTCCCACAGTTGTGAACATCCAGGCACAGGAGGGGGCAGGCCAGGCGTGCAAG